AGTAACGTTAAGAGTTACTAATCTGCTTGTGTGGAAAAGCCATAGCAAAGTAAATCCCACCAGGTTGGATTTGGTTGTAACTTTGGTAGATTTTCCTACTCAGAGAAAACACTCATGGAATTGACTTAAGAAGGAGTATAACCATTGTAGTAATCCAGTTCGTACAATATTCGTGGGAGAAACGTGAAGTTCCCCCTTAACATTGCTGTATGAGCAATAAACTGTCAAGACATATTGTGAGTGTTGTTGTCAGTCTCTACTGATTTTTATACATTTTACACTCACAGTGGCCGCACCGTCAGTGCCCTCGCCTCCATATCATGCAGTCCAGGTTCAAGCCCTGGCTTTTGACATTGTGTTGTGTTCTTGGGAGAGACACTTTACTCTCAAAGTGTCTCTCTCCACCCAGGTGTATAAATTGGGTACCAGTGAATTTAATGCTGGGGGTAACCTTGCAATGGACTGGCATCCCATCCAGGGGGGAGTAGAAATACTCCTAGTTGCTTCATGCTACAGAAACCGGAGATAAGTGCCAGCTTGATGGGCCACTAGCTAGGCTCGCATGCAGACTTGACCTCTTTTATGCAGTCAGGCGGTTTCTGCCAAAAATTAGTTGATGAATCAAGGCAAGAATGATTCTATGCTAGTGGTGTTGTTTTGAACACCTGTGTCCCTACCAGACAATGTCATAATGTTGGTTACCTTAGGCGTTTTCGAACGGTTGATATTTCATCAAGTTGAGCTGTTTCTCAAAATAATGATCTTGAACATATTTACCGGTACGTTAGACAAGCTTATTTTGCCTTCATTCAATTCAAACGGTGCATTTAAACTTGTCAATAATTTCCAATGCTGCTGATTAACACATACCCCAGAGCTTCAAAAGTGAAAAATATGATGTACTTAATCAAAATTCATCTTTACCCATAGACAAAACAAAAAGTTTTAAAAAGGGTGGGGAGGGTGGAGGTAAATTCCTATCTTCTATTGATAGAGCCACTTGGTTGCCACATCTCATAGTATTTTGGCCGAGTTTTAGTAACTCAGTACAGAATACAAACTGTGTACAATGCCCCACCCCCTGTACAAACCTGTTGTAGCAAATGCCCTGACCTTGTTCGTTAAATGGGCAACAAATGGTCGGGTTTGGGGGGNGGAGGGGTGAGTGGGCTCAGAATTGACAGAGCCTTAATCCTTGAGATATTGGTTGGGAATAGCAGGCTGGAAAGGTGTCTGTGTATGTGTCTACATTGATGCCAATGATGCAAATAATAGATTACTCTGAAGCAATATTTGCTTAAATCAAGATAGCCTAATCTTCTAGTATCTACCTCAACTCTCCTTTCTATTTCATTAATATTCATTAAACTTTTGTTCTTATCAATTTGTCATTTTGTTTAGGTTAAGTCTGTATGGCCAGGTAGCACATAAAGGTGAAGCATATTCTGATTTGAGTAGCACTAAGCAACAAGGAGTATTTCTACTACTTCCTGGATCAAGTGTCAGTACTACTCCATCG